TTCTACAACTATACCTGCTCTGAAAAAAGTAAATAATCTCCCAGTGGCCAAATGCAACAAACATCGAAGTCTATCTCTAACACATAATAACTGCTTGATGTCAGGAATAATAAATAAATATTTCTTAAACAAATAAATGAGTAAAAGAATTCAGATTTCAAGCACTCAAGTTTCCTGCCTTCTAGACCAGTGCTCTTCTAGAAGACTAGCATTTCTCATAATCAAATGATTGCATTTGCTACAAATGACATTTCTGGGACAATTGGTGAAACCTAAATAAGGTCTGTAAGTAATAGTACTATACCAATAAGAGTATTTTATCAGTGTTGATTACCTATTTTGATAATTACATTATGATTATGTGAGACAATATCTTTGTTTTTAGTTAATACACACTGAAATATTTAAGAGTAACTTACCCTTTCTCTTAATTAACTCATATTCAAGTAATTTAGAAAAAACATATATATAGATATCTACACACATACACACACACAGAGAGAGAGAGAGAGAGAGAGAGAAAGAGAGAGAGAGAGAGAACAGATACATCAATTCTTTGTACAATTCTTGCAACTTCAAAAGAAACAAATCCTATTGGCATGGCCCATTAGTAAGAAGCATGAGGAAGCTGAGGATGACTGTGGAGAGGAAGAAATTTCATATGAAATTTAAGTCAAGGAAATAGGAATTGTTCAGTCTAGAAAATTGAAGAGAGGAAATTTACCTGAGGACATTCATCAGAACTAGACGGAAAAAAAATTTTTAAACAGTATTTAAAGCAAATATCATCTTAGTAACTAATTGAACTTATCATCCTAAGATTTTAGAATCTGATATTAAAGGCAGCAAAAATATTGTTCTTTGATGTTACAGAAACAACTCTCAACTGATTCAGGCAATTAATAAATATATTATTCTTGACATTCTTATGCCTATATATAGTTCCAGTTCAAGAGAATTATCTAGTTAAGGAAATTAAAATTTAAAAACTATTTAAAGCATTTTAGTAGTTTCAGCTAACCTGTACCACGAAGTAATGCCAATAGTACATTAAACTACAGTATACAAAGGACTATAGTTTTTAGAAAGCACTTCTAATAGATAATTCATTTCTACTCACCTGTTACTTCTTTTAACTGATTTGTTCTGCCATGGTGGATCTATCACAATTACATCAAATGTTTTCCTACCTAAAAACAAAGACCACAATTTCAGAAAATACCTTCTGTATGTAATCACTGTAAAAACTAAACATGTTCTTCCAAACTGAAGTGCATTCACTACAGACACAAATATAATTGAATGTGACAAAAGGATTTGTAGCATTTATTAAAATAGAATAATACAGCTAAAAAAATTAGAGATTTCCCTTATAATTTAGGGATTTATGGAATTTTAACATAATTTCACCTATTATAATTTTTGCAGAGACTACCTGCAGATGACTATAGCTCACTGGGCAAGACATATGATTTGTAAATTCCATGTCGGTTTTGGCAGCCATATTAATATGATCCTATCAAACCTAGGTCATTTTTTTAAACCTTTTATTTTGAAAATTTTAGTCTTATAACTAATATATTGACCATAATAAAATTTCCCCAATTATCTACTTATGTCCTTCTTTCTGATCCAGGATCAAAACCAGGATCACACATTGCATTTAGTTGCCATCTCTCCTAAATCTCCTCCAATCTGGGTAAGTTCTTCAGTCTTTCTTTGTCTTTTATGATTTTGATACTTTTAAAAGCTATTAGCCAGTTATTTTATAGAATGTCCCTCAATCTGGGTTTAGTATTTCCTCGTGATTTAAATTTAGGTTATTTATTTTTGGTTATTTACTTTTCATCAAAGTATTGCCTGCCATGTCCTATCAGAGCAACATATCAGGAGGTACAGGATGTCTAAAAGTCTCATTACTAGTCAGAAATTGACATCACTTGGTTAAAATGTTCTCTGCCAAGTTTCTCCTGTTTTTCCCTTGTAATGAACAAGTATCTCATGAGGAAATACTCTAAGACCACAAAAATATCCTATGTCTCATCTTTTCATCCATTATTTTGACATCCAATTATTACTACGTTGTTCATCAAATGGAAACTTTCTAGTTCCAACATTCTATTCATCTTTATTAACTGGAATTCTACTATAAAGAAGAGCTGTCGGCCGGGCGCGGTGGCTCACGCCTGTAATCCTAGCTCTCTGGGAGGCCAAGGCGGGCGGATTGTTTGAGCTCAGGAGTTCGAGACCAGCCTGAGCAAGAGCGAGACCCCGTCTCTACCAAAAATAGAAAGAAATAAATTGGACAGCTAAAAATATATAGAAAAAAAAATTAGCCAGGCATGGTGGCGCATGCCTGTAGTCCCAGCTACTTGGGAGGCAGAGGCAGTAGGATTGCTTGAGCCCAGGAGTCTGAGGTTGCTGTGAGCTAGGCTGACACCACGGCACTCACTCTAGCCCAGGCAACAAAGTGTGACTCTGTCTCAAAAAAAAAAAAAAAAAAAAAAAGAAGAGCTGTCCCTTCTCCCCCTTTTATAAACATAGGTTTATTTTTATAAATGTACAATCCCAGAAGTAATCAAAAGAATACAAATTAAAATAAGGCAGTGACACTTTTTAAACCATTAGAGTAACAAAGATCAAAAAGAATAGAAAAAAATATCCCTGCATAGCATGGTTTTCTCATTAATTTGTTATCCTGTCATTTACTCTAAAGAATTTATGACACTGCAACATGGATAACCACTCATGTGTAAGATGGCTTGATGGCAATTAAAAGAAGCTTTTCATTAGTCAGCTATGTTGGAGTTGCTCAGTAACTTAAAACTTTGCTATAAAATGTCCAAATAACAATAAATAACAGATTGTATGCAATTTGATCAATATACCTCTTACCTACCACATCCCTTAGA